GAGAGAGAGAGAGAGAGAGAGAGAGAGAGAGAGAGAGAGAGAGAGACGGGGAGACAAAACACTGTATAAAAATAAATTTTGTGCATACAAAAAGACATACACAAGCAGGAATCAAAGTGGACAAACAGAAAATACAGAGAGGGTTACTTTAAAATACCTGAGGGCACGTTTAATGACAATTTAAAAACAGTTTAAGACCAATCTCCATTCAGAAAGGTCATACAAAATGAATAAAAAGAGCCTAAATTGAGTAAGACCCATAACTAAGGCTTTACGGTGCTGCAGACACCCCAGTGTTAAAGCACATATGGTGAAGCAGAGAGGACAGACCTGTGGCCCAACAAACCAGAGAGAGATAGATGGGAGACCGAAAGAGCTTTCGGGGACTCTTTGTGCTTCTGTCATGTCGGTTATATTTTGATTGAAAGATGTGACAGCTGAGGGCGTCACCACGGCATTGTTGGCATAACCATGGCGATGGCGGTACTTACAAAGATGAGCCGGTGAGGAGAGCCGAGGAGAGGAGACGAGCCTGGAGGAGAAATGGACGCCGTCTCAGAAGTGCGTCTCAGCTGGTAGGACAGATAGAGATAAGAGAGTCAGAGCAAGTCTGAGGTCAAAGTAAAGCTAGTACAAACACAGCTAGTGCAACTACATAAAGATGTACAACAACAATAACAACGACGACGACAACATTACACCTATCTAAGTACTTGCTGTCAGGTGAGTCTTTCCCATGTAAAATCCTGCACACACACACGCTACACGACTGTCTTTAAGTCGTTGTGGTTTTCAAACTACATGACTGACCTGGGACACAGACTACGAAATCTTTCACTGGGAGGAATCCCTGGTGAGGTCTCCAAACTATGTTTTGTCAAGAAAACAAGTGAGAAGGGAAACGGGCGAAGTCATGCTTGTTGATGTTGTCGTTGGCACACATGTTCACATAGCAGCCTGTTTTCACATGTCTTTACTATTTCCCTCACGTAGATCAGCCACTGTGTTGTGTTTGTTCATGCAAACATCCAACAGCTTTGGAGCAATAACAACTTTGGTCCTTGTTGCAAATAGAGCGCATACAGTAAAGTTCCTCGGCCAGCTTTTACTTCCAACCCGTGTCTCGTGCTCTCATTGGCTGTAGCTGCCTGACAGACTCCCCAACAGGTACAGATATTTAGCATGCTAGTTATCTAGAATGTGTCTGTGATGCGTCAGCGAGCCTCTCAGCTGGAGTCTTTGAACAGTTCACGAATGGTGCTCAAGTACCGATCATGTAGTAGGAACTGGGCATTAGCAACAGCAGTTTGTTGTAAAAAAAACTTGGGTAAGACTTTATTTGAAATGTGTCATAAACTGCAAAACCACCACTTATTGAGTGTTATTTTTCATAAAAAAGGTTACAAGCTGTTAGTAAAAAGAACAACAACATTTTAGCTGAGACAGCAAACAGAGCCAGTCTCTTGCTCCCAGACAAGTGGCAAAGGCCTGAAAAGCAAGATAAAAACAATATTGCATTATTCTGGAGAGCCTGGTCTTCGTTAGTTTCTTATAACGCAAAAAAACATTTTAGCTTGAAAACCAAGAATGAGAAATTTCAGCCACGGAGAGAAACAAAGAGAGGGCAGAAACAGAAATAGAGAGAAATGGCAGGGGGTTGTGGGTATTTTGAGTATTGCTCACCCTCAGTTTTCTCTCCAGCCGAGCTGCTTCTTTACACATGGGGTGCCAAACCTCTGAACCTGCACACAAACACACACCATTTTAGCTCAGTTTATTTTGTTGTGTGTGTGTGTGGGCAGCTGCCATACAGTTTTATGGGATCCTATGAAGAGCAGATCAGCCTCCTTTAAGTGCATCAACATCAAATAGCACACACAGGAGGCGACGCATGAGGCTGTGGAGGCAGTTTGTCTGGTCTGAGGACAGAGGATGTAAGTCTTCTTGTCTCCACACACAAATAAACAAGGAAGACAGAGACAGAGAGAGAGAGAGAGAGAGAGA